CCCATGCCCCCCCCCCCCGCCCCTTAGAACAACCCGCCTGACCCTTGCCCATACCCCTGCACACCCCCTCGCCCCCCCCACACCTGGCAGCAGCCACTTACCTGCCTGCCAGCCTGGGATTTGCAACCCTGCCAGCTTCCCCAATGGCTTTGGTTGCGGGAAGCCGGCAGGAAGTTGCCTTGCCTAACAACCATGGGATTTGGTTAACAATGGCAACTGGGACTGCAGGGATTGCCACTGCTAAGCAATGCAATTGTGCTTTATGACTGCATCACTTAGCAATGGAAATTCCAGACCCAACTGCTGTCATAAGTTGAGTACTTCCTGTACATTCCACACTGAACCATGAAATGATCAACCATATTTTAGTCTACATGTTGCATGAATCCACCCTATGTGGTGAGTTTATCTTTTAGCGTATCATGGAGATCCCCATACTTGGGCTAGTTGAGTAAACAAGACCCAATTAACCATAATATGCATATTGCGTGAACATACACTTTGAGTGCTTCTTGAGTTAGTCTATGTTGCCAAACATGAGTTTGGTAGAACTCTCATTGTTTTATGGTAACAGGACATTGTATAAGCTGGATAGAGACATACCAATTATCTGGAAAATTTTCAGTAAATTGGGTTAGTGGGAATTCTGTGTAACTGCTAATACCACCATCTACATCTCTAATGAGGGTCAGGGTTAGGATCAGAGCCCTGGTGATAGTTGCTAAGACTGGTAGAAGCCATGCAGGACTTTGGGGAAGAAGTCACTTCTCAACTGTATGCCCAATGGCAGTGCCATGCTTATTGTGAAACAGTTGCATTCTGAAGTCTCCTAAACCCATGGATGGTGGGCTTTACTGAGCAAGATAATAGGAATTACACCAGTTTAATAGATATGCTTTGGGATGAAGCTACCTAGCAAACAGCATTTTCTATGAGCTCTGCAGAAATCCTTAATCCAGCCTTCTCCAACTGGAAGCACGCTGGCAGGGAATTTTGGGAGCTGACATCCTAATACATTTAGAAAGTACCAGATTAGGGAAGGTTAGTTTGATTTGCAAGAGGAGATTCAAGAGTATGGAACCTTCTAAATTTCATCTAATCACATCAGTTCATTTGATGCTGGTGGCATAATTGGTCCTTGTTTACTCTGTGTTATTTCTGGCTCAGATTTTTTTTAAAAGGAAGCTGCTCATAGAAAGGGTGGGTACTTGCTCTTCTCTCCATTTATAACTGAAGATCCTACAAGCTTGAAGATCGAGACACTTTAGCATCTTAAGGTTCACAGCTGCTGGAATACTCCTCTTCCCTGCCTTCACAAAAAAGAAGCATTAAATATTTTGAGTCTTCATGGCTTCCTGCGGCCACTGGTAACTATCGATAATGAAGGAATCATAGTCAGGGCTGTAAATGAGGGATTTAACAAATGCTTCTTTGTCCTCTGGCTCTGGGTACCAGGATGCCAGGTTGTGTTTGTAGGCATAGTCAACCACCTAAGAACAAGAGATAGAAGAAAAAGCATTAGACAAACCCTTTGTTCCAACCAGATACCATCCAGATAGCTCCCCGTATCCAAAGCCAACAAGACTATGATAGATGTTTACAACATAGCCAACAAAGCTACGATAGTTGTCTACAACTTACCCTTTTTGTGATTTGCTCTATGTATGCAACTATACCTACAAGATGGATTTCTTTTGTGCATATTTAGTGACCTGCAGCCTCATGCTGAAGCAGTTTGGGAAGGTAGAGGAAACAGGAATTCGTTTTCTCAAGAGAAGGAACTTAAATCTCTCATTCCAGGAACCTCACAAAACTTCTTACTTTAACAGCAATTTTGAAGGACACATCTCGAATGGAGCTCAGGGGTGGATAGAGCCTGCCTTCAGCAAGATGCTGCTCTGTAACCTCTTCTGCAATTGCCTAGGAGAGAAGAAAGGGAGTGTGCATCACATTAAGAAATGTTTTCCAACAAGGATAGCATTCTCTCTGGCAACTTTGTGTATCTAGTACTACTTAACCCAAGGCATCACAAATTTCTAGATTCTAGCTCTTCCAAGGAAGTTGCTTTATTCCAAGTCTGACCGTTGTTCCATCTACCTCACTATTCCTAATCTGACCGGGAGTAGATCTCTCTAGAACATTTGCTCAAACTTAGTATCCTCCAAATAAGTTGTACTATAGCTTCTATGACTCCCATCTAGTATGCAAGTTGGGAAAAATGTGCACATAGTTTTCCCTGACCTGATACCTTCCCAATGTGTGGGGGTGCAACATCTGAATTTCCCAGCAGTGTGGCTACTGGTGTCTTAGCACAACTGGAAAATGGAAGGTTGGGAAAGGCAGCTTCAGAATTTCAGACACCTCTTCCTAGGACTACCACATCTGCATGTCAGAATCTAGATAATTCCTGGATAACAGAAAAGAGATACAGAAAAATCTAACACTCTTATGCCATCTTGTAGTCATCTGGAGTCTGACAACCCAGATACCACAGCCTATCTTTCCCATCATCTGCTAACTGATCTTTTTAATTAAGATGTCAGAGGTTAAACCTGGTCCTGCCAGCAGGTTGAACAGAAACCCCATCATGAGCAATAGTTCTACCACTAGTCCAGGATCATCCTTATTTGCTTGTATCTTTTTTTTTTTTGGTCATATTCCTACTTATCTACCTTTGGGCAAAGGCCCAACGAAGGTTAATTATAAGGGCTATTCCTGGTTACATTTCACTTTGTGTCAACCTCCAAAGGCCAACTGCATGACAGAGACCACCACATCTGTTATCCAAGGGTCTGCCCCACTCAGATAATAGCTGCAGTGACACAAGATAGTTGATCAGATCAAGAAAGATGCAGGGACTGCATATGTAACAACATACTAATTTTGATTAGTGTTAACCTGGCTTAGGTTTATTTGTGGCATCTATTGTATCTCTTAAATTCAACAACTTGCTCCCAAGAAATGCAAGGAAAAAGGAGGGATTTTTGAGGGGGTCTGCAGATGAGGTGCTGGGGCCACATGAATGGAGGGTGGGTATGTCTATCCATCTCTGTTTTAAGCAAATACAACTGCAGATGTAAATACAATACAGCAGAAATATTGTGTAGATGCATTCTTTAGGAAGCCATACTTGATGTGGACCTTTACTGAAATTCCCATCAGGTATATATGAAGGAGGTTAAGCCAAAGGTTGCCGAGCAGAGAAGAAAGGGAGGACAGGAGTGGCAGAAAATGATAGTAAGTGGAACATAGGAGCACAAACCTCTGCTGTGGTGAGAAAGATCTCCTCGGAGATGTGGCGGACTCCACAAGCAATGACTCCTAGAGCAACTCCAGGGAAAACATAGGCATTGTTCCCTTGGCCAGGGAAGAAGGTTTGTCCATTTGACAGGGTTACTTTTGGAAATGGGCTCCCACTGGCAAATATGGCACGGCCCTATCCAAAGAGATCCAAGATTAAGTCCAGTCACCTACTGACAAAAAGTCAAAGAGGTGGAATGGAGCTGGAAGAGGAAAACAAGGAGTGGGGTGCAGAAGGTTTCAAACTCAAAAGACTTCAGGCATGAAACAGCTGTTTTGAAGTTCTTGGAAGTGTTCTGTTTTTCTTAACCATTCCAGAAATGTTCTGAGCCCCAAAGTGTCTTGGTTTGAATTCAGAACATTTTTGGAATGATTGTTCCAAACAGGTTAGTTGGAACTCTCCATTTTGAGTTTTGCTGTTCCAAGCAAATTTGAGAGGTTCTACCTGAAAGAC